ATTCATCTTCTGTAAGTGGACGTGAGAAACTAGAATATAAATGATTAATTATGTGAATAAAACAGACCACGGAAGTTGGTATTCAAGCTGCATTAACGATCACATGAACTGAAACTAACAAAACTGAGGTTCAGTTTCAACTTTCTTCACTCCTCAATTCACGCTACCAGAGTCACTTTGGATTTGTATTATGTACATATTAGGTTTAAATAATGATTTTTTTTTTCTACCTTGGTAGAGGTTATCATCCACATCCATGCTTTTAGCAATGCTGATACCGAAACCTTTGAGATTGTAGTTTTGATCAACATCAGCAGCAAATATACGCTGAAATAAAAAGTTAAATTTTTTTATTACTACTGAAAACTATAATGTGGAGTTCTGAATAAGTAAACTTAGGAAGGATTAAAAAAAAGGAAAGGTGACAAGATTTCTTTCATGGTTAAATAAAACACAAGATCCTTCTCTTTGTACAGCTAAAATAATAATAAAAAGATAACATTTAAAACACAGAAAACAAGTATCTTACCTTTGTAAAAGCAAAATATAAAGGACAGAATTTCGAATTATGAAATAAGTACCTTATTTTTTAATTCAAATTAAAAACATACAATTTCAAATAAATGAGCCAAGAGCATTAAAATACGGGAACTTCAAAAATAAGAGAAAAAAGAGTACTTACTGTCAAACTAAAATATGGCAAAAAATAAACAGGTATAGAAATATTACAAAAGGTTCTTGTATCTCATCTAATGGTGCCAGATAAACCTGTTGAAAAGTTGTGAGCAAAATGAACAAAAGGTTTACTTCGTACGACCAATAAAACCTTTTGTCAAATTCGGAAAAAACAGAGTTCTTTCTAATATTATATTTATTAGGTATAGTAATAAACACACTGACAAAGTCTAATAGTTACCTGACTATATTTGGGTTTAAGACCTGTTTCTGGGCTACCGTTATATATATACACAGCTCCCCTATCATCTTCATACGGTGCACCAATTGCAACATCTAAAGAGATGACAGAGCATTAATATTAATTACATGAATATGTTATATACTGCAAAAACATAAACACTAACAGACGTACTCGTAAGTTTGTGATATACAGGCATATTATGTTTTCCACCATTTGTACTAATATAGAAATTTTTCAAACACTCCATTTCTCTACAGTTTTGCCATAAAAAAGATGGTCCAGAAAACCACTGAGCTTTTTTCCTTATAGTTGCCCTTTGTGTTTTTATAGTTCTTGAAAACAAATAGTATCTACTCTGCTTGCAGGGATGTTGCAGCAACTTTGTGCATTAGTGTAGGAAAGGGACAACAACTGCAACATCCTTCACTGGTCGAGTAGATGTTGCCAACTCAGTACCGTCAACGAATACTGTGAGAGAATAATCACTCACACGATGATGCTACTGCAAAGAAAAGATACAAGGTTTTCTGTATCGGTACGGAGCCTTGATACTTTCATAGTCCTACTTGGTTTCAATGTGGATAATTCTCCAGATATTTGCCTCGATGGGAATAAAGCTAATGATCTATTCACAGATTCAGTGGAAATACCTGTGTAAGTGTCTATGCAGGCGCGTACAAAGTTATTTTCTTGTATCATAAACAAAGCTTGTTTCACTTTACATCACACCTGTACTTTACACCACACCTGTACTTTACATCACACCTATACTTTACACCACACCTGTCCAGTGTAAGTGTCTATGCAGGCGCGTACAAAGTTATTTTCTTGTATCATAAACAAAGCTTGTTTCACTTTACATCACACCTGTACTTTACATCACACCCGTACTTTACATCACACCCGTACTTTACATCACATCCGTACTTTACATCACACACTTGTACTTTACATCACACCCATACTTTACATCACACCCATACTTTACATCACACACCTGTACTTTACATCACACCCGTACTTTACATCACACCTGTACTTTACATCACACCCGTACTTTACATCACACACCTGTACTTTACATCACACACCTGTACTTTACATCACACACCTGTACTTTACATCACACCCGTACTTTACATCACACCCGTACTTTACATCACACCCGTACTTTACATCACACACCTGTACTTTACATCACACCTGTCCAGTCTTCTTATTTCTCACATACCTTAAAATTTAATATGTTTTTAAATTCAAATTACTTTGCAGGTTTCCTACTTGATCACCTCCCGTTATTCAACGGACCTATCCATTACTTGAGAGGAAATCAGTTCAACTGATAAGATCACAATTGTAATAAACTTAAAATAAGACCCAAAACTCGAATAGTTGACGATTCTTCTTCAAGAGAACAAAGAACATTAGAAAAATTGAATGCAGCTTTAAAGAATACAAGTACATTTATCAACAAAGTTAAGACTAAATACACATAAAACAATATACTGAAATCAATGAACATAAGAAAAAACATGTTAGGTCTATTATGAATTTGTTCTCCTAAAGAAGAATAGTCAACTATTCGAAAGCGCTCGAGTTTTAGGTCTTATTTTAAGTTTATTATACTATATATTTAAATCTTTTATGCTAACTCTTTTATCAAGACCACAATTGAATATTCTTTGGTAGACATACAAATGTACAAAGTATGTTTTTTTTTAAACATACTGTAAGTAAATATTTAAACTCTTTCTAAATTAGTAGAAATATTTCAAACCACTTCAATGTAAAAACTAGTTGATTTGAAGTTCCATGATTAAAACAAACAGAATATCAGGTTTTTTGGAAACATAATATTGTCATTAATAATGAACAATGAAATGTTGTTCCTGCTAATTAGTATAAAAAAAAATAGTGTTCTTAGATAGTTATAAATAATTTAACTATCAACACTATAACATTACTTCAGAACAATATGAAAGGTTAAGAAAACTAGTTTGAAAACTACCTAAAGCTGTTATAAGTTTTAGTAAGTTCTTTGTCACTTTACCCTAAAACTCATTTTGCTTTTGATTTTTCAAATTTCTAATATTTTTCTTTAGTTCCAGTCTTAATGCTGATGGAACAGTAAAGTTAAGACTAAATACACATAAAACAGTATACTGAAATTAACGAATATAAAAAAACATGTTAGATCTATTATAAATTTTTTAATCTATTACAATAAATAAGCCACTCGATAATGTGGAAGTACAAAACAAAAAATGATATGCAAACAAATCAACTGCCGACACCCGAGTCTGGGCACTGTCATATAATGTTATTATTTAATTAAATACAAATTTTCTGATTATAAATATATGTAAAGTTTGGGTAACAGCACGGTAAATTATCATTTTTTTATAACAGCCAGTTAAAATCATCTTGTTATGTGTTAATATGATCCTTTGGTATCTGTCAAGTGGTACTATTTGACAATACAATTTACCAATCAAGAAATATTAACACTTATCTTTAATTACACCAAGTAAATCTGTTTGGTGATGTTAAAGTTAAAATTATCAACTACTGATTTTAACTTATGATTTCTTCCATTAAGATTATGTAGTTAGGTTTTAGTGGGTGATCAACTTACCTAAATATCCATCTTGATCCAAGTCGCCGACCCTGGCTAGTGCTGAACCAAATCGAGATTTATATGTCTTTGATCCCATTAATTTTACAGATGAAAGCTGAAGCCCCTGTCCCAAGATTTACATGTAATAAATGAGTTTACTTATGTTACATACAAGAATTAAATACACATCCTATTTAGTATGCCTGTTCAGATTAAATTATCTTATCTAAATTTGTAATTTTTCAAAGCTATTTTATTCATAAGACTTATAATTAATTTAAAGATAATGGTTCCCTATCAAGGAATAAGAAAAGGGAAAAACTGTAATTTCCATTTTGTGTGAAATTAGGACACATTTAAAATAGATAAGAAAGATACGATCGAACACCAGATTTGTTAGAAACTGTCAGATATAATTAAGAGTTTTCAGATATCCCTGATATTATAACAATGAGTTAGTAAGAAATTGACCATGATTTTGAAATAAAAAATGTTTGTTCAAAAAAAAGCATTCTGGAACATATCTCTTACCATTTGATAAAAATGTTTTAGATCACCGGCATTAAGAAGTTATAACTTTTCCTACTGATATTGTATATGATAAAATTTTAGTGAATAAACTTACCACTCCATCACTGAGATAAAGGTACACTCTGCCTTCATTCGGAACCACCTTCTAGGGAGAACAGTGGTGCCCCCACAAGTAAGTCTGAATACTTATCGTTATTTAAATTAACTGCTAGAACTGTAGCTCCAAAGTACTCTCCCATCTATAACACAAACAAAAAAATGAAATTTTATTCCTAGTAGCCTATTATTTATGGGACATAAAAGCTGTTTCTTAAGTTTGATGATTTTGGAAAACGACTGTATTCAGGCTGTGCAGAATATATCAAATATCACCTACTAACATGATACAGGTGAGCAACCAGAATAATGTGTCAAGCATGCAGTGTTATTCTCAGAACAATTACTACACTGCCTGTTTTGTTTTGGTTCTGATCAGTTCCAAGTAAAGATTTTATACGTAAAAATATGACCCATTGTAACTGCACTTTTAAAACACGGTATATTCAATCAGAAACACAGTTCATTCTGTTGTTTTAAAGTGTAACATATTATATACCCCCCCCCCCACCACACACACACAAAAAACAACAATTTGTATTCTCTGTTATGTACAGGGTAAGCAAAAAATCTGGACACCCCCCTCAAATAAAAATAGTGTACATAAAAAAAAAGAATTTATTGACATATCTCATATTGATACAGACTAACAAAGGGTTCGATTAATAATCCGAGATGTCTGTCTGTTGGCGTTCCTTTTCATGATATAGGATGATATACATCTCTGTGTTCAATGTAACATCCTCCTTAGCATGTTAGGGGTGACCTTGGCGAAATTGTCAAGATTTTTTCTTACAAAGTTTCAGTTGTTTCATATAATTCCTTTTCCACAATCATTACTAAAAACACAAAAGAATAAATTGTTAACATGAGCTTTAAATAAAGGAAGGATGGGGTTGCCCAGATTTTTTTCTCCACCCTGTATTATGTTACATAACTTACCTGGCTTCCTTCAAACCTGGCTTCTTCTTTAAAGGATTTCGATGTAAAAAATGCATATCCACTGATGATGTAAACCTAAGAAAAAAGTTAAAGAAACTAATTAAATCTTTCTTTAGAACTGGATACGAGAAATGCATACTACACAGTAAAATAAATACATTTATTATCTAAGCATTTTCCTACTGAAAGTTTAATTGCAAGTATCAGTTTTAGATTAAGTTCATGTCTGTTTTATTTATATTTGACCAACAAACGTAACTAATGTATGTATATATTTTCTATATATAAAAACAAGAAGCATGGTACTATACATAAATGTTTTTATTTTAAGAGTTGGAGCCTCATGTTTGTAGACTAATAAGTGACAAGTTTTATTTGAGTATCATGTACAACATGATGTTTTAAATACTCTTTTTTCTATTCAAGTTTTAGTTAATATGATGATTCATATTACCTTTAAATATATGTATAACCTTTAAATAATTCATACAATGGGAATTCTTGGAGAAGAATTGATGGAATAGTTTTCCTTCTTTTAGATAATCTAGAGCATAATTCATTGTCTGTTAACTGTGATCCTAAATGAACAATAAGATCTATTACTATGTATAAATCTGAAGATTATTTTTGACCAAATATTATATGCAAACAACTGTTTGATAGGATTACATAACTATTTAATCATGTTATACTTGTCAAGCATGGACTTGACAAGTACCTCATCAGACTTAACTCCGATATCTAAAATTATTAGACACGGTTAATAGGAGATTACACATCATAATTATGTTCTGAAGGAATGAAAGGAAGCTTCTTTGCAAATTCTTAAAAATTCTGAACAAAATATTTTCATAGTAACTAAAACTTCTGTATTTATTAAGTTGAATTTATCGTACAAACACACCAAAAGTGTGCTTTCAATGTTTCAAGGCCCAGCATGGGCAGGTGGTTAGGGCGCTCGACTCGTAATCTGCGGGTTGCGGGTTCGAATCCCCGTCGCAC